TTATTTTGATTTAATTTCATCTTAGTTACTGTATGTTTCCATAAAAATCAGTAAATAAAGTGTTATTTTCTTTTTTATTTACAGGGGTTTTTATTACACCATGCTAATAATTTAACACATTAATAATTTAACTAAATTAGGTAAATGACTGTAACTTCTGTTTCTTTTTCAACAACCTTACAATTTTTACAGAGTAGGTATATATACATGTTGTTATGATTCTCTGATAATTTTGTTAAATTCCACCCAGTAGTTTTTTGATAGGATGGAAAAGTGTCACCTTGTTAATAATTTGAAATGCAGTGTATTAGTGAATCAGAAAGAGATCTTAATAAAAGTTGTATAACAGCTTCCCTAGATCTCATTTTTATTCATATGTATTGAGTGTGTGTGAGGATGTTTGTATGGGCAAAGGAAATCATTACATAATGAAATTTTTGAAATGTGCTGGGATCTGCTCTAGTATTGACCTTATCAGAATATATTTTATTATGTAAAAAAGTGGTGTTTGGGAAATATTATTAGAGTCTTTTGTTCCATGCACCTCAGACAAAAGTGGAGACAATGGTTCCTGACTGGGTTGATGAGTGTGATATAGTGCTCACATTCAGCCAACATGTCTAGTGAAATGTAATTATGAATCAGAAAGAGATCTTGATAAAAGTAGTATAACAAAAAGGTAGTCATTGTAGGGTGGGGAATGGTGAGTGTGCTAGAATTTTCCAACTTAACTGCATTAATTTCTGTCTGAATTTGTGGAATGAGAAATTATCATTATTTACCTGTGGACTAAATAAAAAATAGATGAGACATCCCTAGACATAATTAGGAGAATGAGAACACTCTACTTCCTTAGATGAAATAAAGGGTTCAGTTTGAAATTCTCTGAAGGTTACCTGAATCAACAAGCACCTAATGAAGGTTGGAGAATGCAACAACCAAAGCATTGTGTTAATAACAACAAATAATTAATAACATAATTAATTTAATAACTAATTAATAACAACAAATACTATTAACTATGACAATTTTACACAAGTTGATCTGTACAATAATACTATTAGATGACAAAGTATATTTTGTTGACATTCATCATTGAACGTGACACCTAATTTTCTAGGTTGAACCCTTTGATTGCAGATAAATGATTTGAGATGGATGTGTGCGAGGTTAAACTGCTCTGTCATCTTTTGGTTAGTCAACTGTACATTGACCACCATGACTTAATGTAATTCACTCTAATGCAGCTCCAATGAGCACCTGCTTTGTCTAGTGTCTTAAATTTGTCATTTGATAAATCATTCATAAATTATTGTATAGTTTATTTACTAGTCACTAATTCAGCTAAATTCTCAGTTGCTTGTCAGAGACTTTTTTCTGGTAATTATAGTAACTATGCATGCACACACACGTACACACATTCACTCACTCTCTCACATACATGTACACACACACACACACAGATTCTCTCACACACATACTCACACTGTCTCAAACACATGTACACACACTTTCTCTTACATGCACGTACACACACGATGAAATATTAAAAAAGATGTGAGGATTTTATGCTTGGAATATTTTGAACTTTTTTGTCAACTGCATAAAATTGGCATTTTGTCTTATGTAATGTCATCATGAAAGAGTAAAAGACTTTTTATTGTCTGTTAATGTCACCAGTTGAACTGGTTCCCTCCCCCCATCTTCATTTGATTGAAGAAATAGCAAACATGGATTTTCAACAAAAAAAGTAAAAAAATGAGGATATGAATAAATCAGGACAGCCTTTAACAATACTTGTAATGTAAAATGAACAAATATGTGGTGAACAGAAATAATTCCAAGAAGGAAAACTTTTATATTTGGTGTTGTTCATGTTTGGAATTAAATACAACCAGATAATGATCAGGTGCTATGAATGAATCAACAGAAAGGTAAGAACGCTAACATTTTGTTTCATTTCATTTTTCTTTATTTGTTTTTTATGACTTATTAACTTTTTTGCAGGTTATTTAAAGCCTGAAATTATTTTTAGATTGTAAGATTTATTTTTTGAGATAATAATGCTTTACCAATACAAAACCTACTAATTAAGCCATAACTGTGGGTGGCTGGTATTTGCACATAAGGGAATATAATGAACCTGACTAGAATAGATTCTTTGATTTCCAATTCTAAGCCGTTACACCACCATCACATTCAAGCTTGGTATTTCCAAGTGCTCACCCATCTAGGTACTGACTGGGCTCTATATTGCTTAACTTTGATCATTGTACAAGAACCAATGTTTCAACATGATATGGCCATAACCAAGAAGGCTAAGAATGAATCAAGAGAAAGTTAAGAAGGTAGTGTGTGAAAAATGTGTTCAGTGCAGCACAGAAGAGGTTGACATTTCCCTATTGTGAAGTTTTTCTATGTATTTTCTGGACTGAAGTTGGTTAATGTTCAATTTCATTTGAAATATAACATTACCTGGAATCAACATTAGATGTCTTACTTTTTGAATGAATTGAAAAAAAAATTTGCAAATGAAAAATGTTGTTAGAAACATTTCCTTGTAAATTCTAAAAAAAAGTTGTCCTCTTTGTTAATGTTGATGTCTTTTCTTTTTGAATGTTTTCCAACCATTTCTAGGAGACTTTAGATAATTCTTTCATTATGAATCATAAGGTCAGTTGAGTTAAAGACTAGGATTGTTTTTTTTTAAAGAAATCTTTCACTTTTATACAGATATATTAACCATTTGTACAATCAATATCAGCCTCTATTGTCACTAATGCATATTCTTTTCCCTTTTCCCCTTAAAATGTTTTATTGAACTCCAGAATGTAAAATTCACTAATGCATTTTATTCAACATTTCAGATATCAAATCCAACTGGAATAAACTTTCAATGGCTGACAGTACAAGAAACATTTTTTCTTTTTATGTACTGTGATCAATTTTAGCCCCAACATTTTGAGAAAATTAATTATATACAACAGATATTGTATATAAAACCTATAGAAACAAACACAAAATGTAAACCGAATGTCGCATTATTTTTAGCAAGTTTAAAAATAAACTTATTCTTTACATACTTTACTTTTTAATTTAACTCCAGAAAATAAAGCTGAAAATATTTAGATAGAAATTCAGCAGTTCAAATTTTCAGCTATTAAGGTTAATTTTAGAGGAACAGATGACTGTTGACATTATTATGTGCCAAATATAATATTACTCTATGTCTGATTTTATTATGTAAGTCAGTGTTTTTATTCTAAAATTGGTATTAACTTAAAGATGATGGTTGAATTTCCAGGATATATTTATAAGTGCAATATACTGTGTGCAGTTCAGTATATAACATGTATATTTAGTAAAAATATTGCTAACTTGATTTGGGGGTGTCACATTTTATTATGCACACTAAATCAACATAATTTATTATTTACTAATAAATTCAAAAGATATAGTTCATAGAAATATGTATTTGTGTAACACAATATCCCATTTAGCTGAATAAATTATTATTTTATTATTTTACATATTAATACAATCACCTTGATATTCTATAACCTTTATCAATCTTTCAACCATTGATTTTGTTAATCGGTTTTAAACAAAATTATCTTTGTTTTTCAAAAAAATCAATTGTTTTAAATTGCCAAATAAATTGGGTAGGTCGTAGATAAGCATATAGATGTATAGCTATTGTTTCATGAATTATTCAGACTAGTATCCTCATTGTTTCAATTACTCCATTTTGACCAGTGTGCTCTCCAACATTACTCAAGTATTTTAACCTTGACCTGAGGAATTCTTGGTTATACACATGGGTGAATAGGAGCAGAATGTGTCATCAAGTCACAAGATTTATGTACATGTGTGATTACATGGCTTTGGGCATAAAAATGCATAAAAGGACAATCATCTAAGCACAAGTAGGTGCATCAGCAAGAGGAATCAGGTTTCACTTGAATTCTGCCATTCTGTGCTATTAGAGGTGAGATTGTAGATATACATATTGATGTAAAGTTGTTGAATCTGAGCACTGTGAGTTTAATCCCTCATTAAAGCAGTAAAGTGCATCAGAGTAGAGTAACACTATAAGGAAAAAAGTTAATGTTAAAAAATCTTTAAGCAAGATATCAACTGAGTGAGAGCCTGAGGTGGAGATAGTAAAGCCTTTTATCCTACACTGATGGCATAAAAGAGTTGCAATCAAAATTGTCTGAAGATGATCAGTGTAATATCCATTTGAGAAGAGGATGCTAAAACACTCTAATAAAACCAATAATGATAAAGATGTTAGTCTTATAAAACACTAAAAAATAATTTCTTTTATTAGTTTCCAAGATTGTTGGCAATGAAAAGCTTAATTAGGAAATCATATCTTGATTTCATTTTTAGCTCTCATAAAATATTAATTTTTCATTTTACTGTTTAAATGTTCAGAAATATCAAGTATTATGTCATATACGATAGGTCTCCCTTTCAGCTTTTCACTGACTGAACAATTAACTCCATGTTATGTTTCTATTATTGTTTCTGTTGCTTTGCAGAAAAAAAAATCCATTGTATATTCTGCTACTTCTGTCATGACAGACTAACAGGTCAGCTTTTGTTTCCAACCAGCAAGAACTCTGATACTTTTCTACCACCTTTCTGTATCATCTTTACATCACTATATCTTCCTTCAAAACTCTCTCTTGAGAGACAACCTATACCTACCAATGTCATTTGCTTAGTCAGCAAAAATATTTCTGTGCACAGAGTTGGAGTAAAGTTTTGATTTGAGTCTTTATTTAAAAATGATCTGCAAATTATTCTATAATTAGTATCACTATTTTTGTTGTTTTTATAAAAGTGATTCTGCTGATATGTCTGCTGACTTTCTACAGGCGTATGTTATCCAGTTATGTTGTTTTTTTTTTATAAATATCCTCCTGTGTTGGACTGCAACACCTTCTTTTATAATAAGAGTTATAGTTATATAGATAATTTTTTTTTCACAGAATGTCGCTCATTCCCACCTCTTAGAGTCCCTGCTCGTAAGATGCCAGCTATCCCATCAATGACTTCCAATGATAAAACATCATCATCACATCGTAAGTAGCCTTAAAAACATATTCTTATGATGTATGTGTAAAAAGCAAAAAACACTTGGAATTCTTTTGTTCAGCTAGTAACATACTTGTGAACCATAAAACTCTGAACCATGTTTTCAAAATCACATTCATGCAAGAGATAATATGTAGCCACCTTAGAAAATGACATGCTTCAACTTAGCTGAGTTTGAAACTAAAACAGTTGAATGTCAATTGAAGATTAAATTCAATGTTCTTAAACACTTATTTATTTGATGGCTTTGTCATGTTGTATTCAAGCCATTCAATATTTAGTGGAAAGAGGAAATCCTTACACATATTTTTCTTTAGATATTAATTCCTTTAATAAGTGAAAGCAATGTGTCCAGGCAGAGAGAAAGTGCCTTTAATGTTTACAGTGTGAGCTCTTTTCTAGAAACAGTTCTCATCTTACAGGTGAAGGTACTTGACTTCTTACCTTCAGTGGTCAACATTCCAATTATATATTTCTATTTATTATATTATTCTTTCTTTTTTAATTTTGTTAATGTTATTCTTTTCCCCAACAAATTAAAATATTCATAAAAATCTCTTTTTCTTTTTTTACCCCCAGCTTATTTGAACAGCAAGTAATTTAGGATATGTTTACATTCAGTTTACATCTCTTCAAGTAAGACAGGACACCCATCCGTTTAAAATGTTTGTGATATGCATTAGTTTTTCAAACTCAGTAAAGTGTATCCTGATACAGTGTGTATCTCCAGGATCTTTTTTTAATGGAATACTGCTCAAAAAATATTTTATGCCTCTCTTCAGTCATGCTGTAGAAATAAAGAAATTGTCATTTGAAATTCTGATCCTAAACATTGTTTTCACACAGTGACCTTCATGTAGTTAACAGGACACTAACTCTTGTTGTAAGTATTGCCTCATTAAGATTCTTGATCAAGAATTAGCAGGGCAAGATGTTATAGGTAATACTTGATCTTATTGGTTTATACTGGTAAATTCTGTGCTATTTCCTGGTTCAAATCTTTAGCTCATCCTGTGTCAGTCATTTTCCCAGTGGAAATTAAAATTATTTTAGTCTTTTCACAATTGTTTTAAGAAAAAAAATGCTTCCTGAAAAACTCTAAGACTGTTTGCTCAGAAAGGTCCTGGAAGGATAGAATTATAAAGTTGACTGAAAGATAGTAGAAGATAGTGGACTAAAAATGTAAATATATCTGTTCAATAAAATTAAATTAAAGAATAAAGGCAAAGTTATTTTATTTTTTATAATAAACCAAACATTTTGGCCAACCAATACCTTAGTAAAAAAAGACTATCAAAACTTTGAATGATCAATTAATCATTAGTAAATTTGAAAATTAGTAAATTGTCCTTGACACTAGTTAATCTTAACTTCTGACAGCAGATGACTTATTTAATATGAATGCCCTCTTGAAAAATGCCTTATACATCAGTAACCACTATGTGATTGGTTACTTGGCCAAACTGACCAATTCAATTGTAAAATTATGAATTTGAATCCAACTTGACCTTTTAACAAGGAAACTTTTTGGTTTGCTAGGTTCACCATTATTTCGGCCACGAATAGAACCGCCAAAAGAAAAACCAACAGAAGTAAGTAAATTTCATCCAACCCTTTGTTACATTCAGTAAAAATGTCTTATTTATATAAAAAGTTTATATGTTTATGTATAATGAGGTGCTGAAAAGTTCTTAGCCCAATCAAGAAACCATTCTAAAAAAACAAATTCTAATGTTTAGTCATTTGACCACAGTTTTGGAAGCTGGGAAATTGCCAGCCCGCCCTTGTATATGTGTGTGCATGTGTATAAGTTTATACACCCTTGTATGTGTATGTGCATGTGTATAAGTAACTAATATATTCATTTGTGCAAATTATATACATTTTTGCTTTTTATCTACACAAAATTTGGGAATTGCTTAATTGAGATATTTTAATTTTACATCAAACTTGAAGAGAACCATTTCAAATCCATTCAGATAAAAACTGACACTTTTAAATTGTCAAAAGATAAGTACAAATAATATATGTGAATAATTGATTGAAGATAAACATAGCATCTAGACAAGTGCTTCAGTTAAAAAGACAAACATGTTTTAATGTGTAACTTTTATTCACAAATAACAATTGCTTTAGTAGATTTGGTATGTGATTACTGACTTGAAGTATGTCATCCAAATGTCAATTGTGGAGTGTTACTTCATTGACCCAGTTCTCTCCACTTCCTTAGAACTGGTAACTACAATCTCATTTTCACCATGAATGAGTCACCCATGCAAACTACAAAACAACCAAAGGTTAATGGAGTTGTCAGTTTGCACTTGAATCAAAGAGAAGCTACTTAATGATAAAAAAACAGTATAAAAATATACATTTTCATCTTTGTTTTGTAGAATGATAAAAATAAAATAGGCAGATTGAAAGAAGAAATGCAAGTCACTGATTTCAGGCCATGAAGAAACAAAATTAACATGACAGAATTTAACGTTTTCTTATTGGTTTTGTAATTTGACCTCATCCAGCATTTGGTGTTTCTTGTGTGTCCAAAGATTGACTGTTTCTCAGATTTTCATATCTACCCACTAAGGTCTGTAAACTAAATAAACTTAGGTATGTCTTCTCTCATCTAAAACTTTATACTAATACAATTTCACTGCTGTTATGCAGTAAATGCTCTGGTATATAAAATAGTTTGTGGCATGGCTAAATTGTCTAACTTTTGGGACACAAGAAAATGAAAGCAAAAAAAATAACAAGAAATCAGAAACTGATGAAAACAATTTTAATGCAAGGTCATCTTGTAGCACAGTAATTTTCAACTGATGTACTGTGGCACGACTGGTGTGATGTGAAAGAATTGTAGGTGTATCATGCAAATTTTTAAAGGTTATTAATTAAATTATTTTCAAAAAAAGTTAAAAATACAATTGTAGATATCAAAATTAAAACCACTTTAAACTGACTATACAAATCTATCATTGTTATAATAAATAAATGTATACATAATATATAAAATAATATAAAAAGCAAGCTTTTCTACAATAAACAATATTAAAAAAAAAAATCAATCTTGGCTTGGAAGAAGATTATGCCTGTTCAAAATTTGACCTAGCAATGAAGATATTTTAAGAAAACATCAAGCTCAAATATCCCATTTGTAGTGGAATTGGTTGGGCTAATACTAATTAGCATAACCATACCACTATATAGGGGAACTAGAGATAGACTGGGACAGAGTGTCTCTTGTGATGACTACTACTGCTGTGTGGGTATCAACTTCATAACAAAATGGCATTGCTGAACAAAACTATGTTGGATTTGGAAAACCCTGAAGAGGTTATTATCTGGTTAAAGTGTTTTGAATCAATGGCCAGAATGAAGAAATTAGCGGATGATCAAAAGTAGGAACAAATCACGGATTTATATATGGCCACTGCAGAGTGTAAAGCCATTAAGCAAGTATCCTTAATGACTTACCTGGAGGAAATTGAAACTTTGAACTTTAAAGACTTTAAGGACATAATTTTTTAGAGAGTATCCAACCAAAAAAAGATTGGTCATTGCTGAAAAAAACAAATTTCTTGCGTTAAGACAAGAGTCTGGAGAACCTATTGGGAAATATCTCAGTAGACTAAGGAATACTAGTAGGTATTGTGACTTTAATGAGCTTGGACAAAAAGGAATGACAACAGAGGATGAATTGGTTCAGCTTCAACTGGTGGAAGGATTATACAATACTACACAACGACTTAAAACTTTGGAGAGGTTGCAATCCAATAATATGAATTTGGAAGCTTGTATTGAATTTATACAGCAGGACGAGTTAATTGAAAAATATGATATAAAAAAAAAACAAGAAGAAGAAATGATAGAAATATGTGCCATTAAGAAAAAAACAAAAATAAAATGCAAATATTGCAGTTATGAACATGAGTCAAAAAGAGAAAAATGTCATGCATGGGAAAAGATATGTGACAATTGTAGAAAAAAAGAATCATTTTAAAGCCGTGTGTAAATGGCAAAGCAACAATGTAAAAAATGTGGAAATAGTACAGGACGGAAGAAAAAATCAAACGGATATTTTTGTGATAGAAAAGAAAAACAAAAGGAATACGTTCAAGAGTATAAAGTTGAATGGTATAAATTTAAAGATGCAAATTGGCACAGGAAGCGAGGTAACTCTCATTCCTAGAAATTTGGCAGAAAAATTAAGGAGAAGTTAAGAAGAAGCCCAGTAAGACTAAAACAATTCGATGAAACCTGTATCAAAACGTTAGGTTCTTTTCAAGGGACATTTGAAACAGCGAAGAGATTTGAAACAATCACCATCATAGTAGTGGATTGTATAAAAAGTCATGGCCTAATAGGTACTGACTTAATGAGTGTTGATAGTACACAATTACTGAATGCTGTCAATGTTAGAAGTTTTGAAACAGGAACATTAAAAAATTATAAAGTAAGCATTAAGATAAAAAGAAATGTTACACCGTCATATTTTCAAAGTCGTAGGCTTCCCATACATATAAAACCGATGGTGATTGAGAAACTGAACAAAATGGTAGAAGGAATAGTTCAACATGTTGACCCAGGAGGCAATTGTTGTCGTAAGGAAACCTAATGGTGATGTTAGGGTTTGTGGTGATTATAAGATAGGTGTGAATCACAAAATTTGTTCAGATTCATATCCTATTTCAAATGTAGAAAACATATTGCATTCCTTTGCAGGAATGAAATATTTTGCTAATATCAATTTAAAGAATGCATACAACCAAATCCAAATAGACGACAAGAGATGCAGAGATAAAAACATTTTGCCAGAACAAGACATATTCATGGCCAACAGAAACTGAGCCATGGTCCAGGGTTCACATGGACCATGCACATGTGAATGGGATAGGATTGTGTCTGATATTGGCAGATGCATTTTTGGCATGGCCCGAAGTTTTTAGGGTTCAGGATAGAAAATCAGATACAGTAAAATGAATTTTACGAATAGTCTTTGCTAGGAATGGCGTACCAAGGAAATTGGTAAGAGATAATGCTCCAGAGTTTTGTGATGCAAACTTGTGTTCATGATTAAGAAACATTGGAGGCATAACGTATAAATCCCTCCTTATCATCCGTAAACCATAAAAATAGAATTAAAAGCGTTCTCCCCACAGCATGAAAGAATCGAAAATTTTCTACCAAGATTGTTATTAAGTTATCAGACAATACCTCAAGCTGGAAGATTATAAAGTTCATCCGTGTTAATAGGAAGACAAATCAGAGCACCACTAACAATGTCATACTCAATGCATGAGAAGGTATGGTAAAAGAGAAACGTAAAAGAGGGGCCAGAAAAAGTAAGATTTGTAATGTAGAAGGGACAGAATACAGCATTGGTTTCCAAGAGGTCTATTAGCATATGCTGACCAACTAAGAATTCGCCAAGACTATGAAAACTCAGAAACTGAAGATACTGAGGAGTTAAATGAGACAATGATTGCTCAAGGGTTTTCCATGGAATCAGAGAACGAAACAATGGATATTGAAGAAGAAAGAAGTAGGTCAAGATCTCCTTTAATGAGAAATCCTCTTGAAACCAGTGAAAGGGGGAGGGTATGTAGGAGAAGCAATAGGTCAACTCAAGAAGTTAAACCTAAAAGGTTCTGGGAGGTGTAGTGGGATTAATTAGCATAACCATACCACTATATAAGAGAACTTGAGATAGACTGAGACAGAGTGTCTCTTGTGACGACTATTACTGTTGTGTGGATATCAACTTCATAACGCCATTAAATGTTAAATTATAATAAACAGAAAAATGAGTAAATATAAGTTTGGTTTTATGTTTAAATTATTATCTTTTTATTACAAATTATAATAAATTGTTTTGTTTGCTTTAATAAATAAATCATAAAAAGTACTATTTTTTGTCATAATAATTTAAGTGTACTGTGGAAGGATAACCATAGGTTCAAGTGTGTTGTGTGATAAAAATGGTTGATAAACATTGTTGTAGAGCACTGCTTCTACCACTCAAAATTTTAGGAATTCAGTCTCAAAAGCTGAACTAAACATTTTATATGCAAAACATGGACACTTTTATTACAGATGGAAGCTGAAATTAATTTTTTTTCCAATGTTGTTTTCAAGTGAAAAACTCATTTCACTGAACTTCACTTAAAGTGAGTGACATCACTGAGAATGAAAGGTCATTCTCTGATATTTTATTGGTTAAACCCAACTAATTAGCACCAGTTCAAAAGTGGGGTGACTGATACATATCCCTCTCCTACCTTGACTTTTTACTCAAGAACCATGATTGTGTGGGGAGTCAAACTCAACATAAGAAGTCTTCTCTTGGTGCCAAGAATTCTGGTTGATCAAAGTCTCGATGAAGGCAAGATGCTTCAATATGACAATGTTCTATGCCACAAATCATGTGCAACATAACATTCTGGTTAAAGGTGTCACCATATTGAAAGATTAATCAGAGACTTAAACAAAGGTATACATAATTACAGAGAAGAGTTCATCAGAAGAATTCACACCATTTTAAAGATTTAGAAAAGTTCAGCCAGAGAGGATGGCATCTATACCTGTGGAGGATTTGTATACATCCCATCCTAGGTGTATTGAAGGCCAATTGTTCAAGATAAGGAAAGCCACACAAAATAGCAACAATGTAAAGTAACTTTGTGAAAGAAAAATTTTGTAATAAATTTTCATTATAAATAGTTTTCTGTTTTAAAACACTTATTTAACTTTATTTATGTGAGGTGGATCGAAAAATTTTGTATGGTCATGTTTAGAGATTTGGGATTCTGTAGATTCTGTAGTGAACTCTATTCAATAAAAATCTAAGACTATAACAAAAATAACTTCTATTTGTTTACTAGTTTTCAGAATGTCTTTACTCTTACTAATTTGAATCAGTGTGGCTATTGTGTGTTAAATTATTTTTCACATCTTGAAACTAAATTTACAATAATGGCCTTTTATAATAATTTGGCATGTGCTTTAATATTTTTAAATTTTGTTTTATTTAGAAAACTTTCAGATATATTTTTTTATTAGAAATGTTGAAATATTGCATGATGATCATTATTTTATACAAAGATTTTTTATCAGAAAGATTTGTAGTGTCTTAACAAACCTTTAAAATATTTTCCAAAATTCTTTTTGGATAAATAATCTGATTGTGTTGACAGAAATAAGCAATTTGGATGGAATCAAAGTTTAATTCAATAAATGGATAAACACATTAATTGGTAAGTTTAGATCTTGTATTGCTATCTTGTATTGGACCAAAAGTTTTGATGTTTAGAGGGCTGGAGTTTATTTGGGTTCTTTCTTAATCTTTGAGAAAATACTTTTGTCTAAAATGCCCTGTCCAACAGCAATTAGCATAGTCATTTTAAAAATCAATAATATATTGATCATATCGATATATTTTGAAACATCCTTTTAATTATCCTAAGTTAACATATATCTAGTTTGTTTTGTAATTTTTTCAGAGGGAGAGAACTTTAAATGTAAAATTAAAAAAAAATAAATGAATGCAGTCAATGCAACGACTTTTTAAAATTACAATATCAGAACGATACTCTTTTTTTGTGTACAAGAGTTTTCTTAGTTGAAATATCCCTTGAATATTCAATGGATATTTCAACTAAGAAAAGTTTGTATGTGGTGAACTAAATTATGTATTTTGGGGGTTCTAGAGTTTCTAGTAGCAGTGCAATATTAAATAGAAATATTAAAAATGATAAGCAAATAGGAGGAATGTCAGGATGAATCTAATTAACAAAGAACAGTAAAGATGACCATTTCTTTGTCAAAGGAATGAGTTCTCTTACTGCATAAGTTGATACTAGGTTGTTAAACTTCTAGGTTGACTTTCTAAACATCAAAAGTGGGAAAATGTTCTGACTGTTGGAAAGCTAATTGTAATGTGATTTCAATAAAGGCAAGAAAATAAGATTTCAAACAAAAGACATAACTTGAGACCATTAAACTGTCAGGGTCATACCGATGGGCACATCTTTATATACAAGAACATAGTGAATCAGTTTCCATGAATGAAGTTCCACACATCACTTCAGTCAGACAGAAAAAGATTAAGATTTCAAACAACAATTTTTTCCATTAATTGGTAGATGAGTGTAGAGCTTTACCAGGAAAATAAAAGCAAATGTACTTGGCTGAACAAGACAATTACAATTTCAAACCCAAAGGGGACATATCACTTACAATTAGAACTATAGTAACTTTGAGTGGAGACTTGACCCATGGGATCTGGCCACCTATATGCAGATTTGAGACTATGACTGTGAGTACCATTTTGTACCTGTTGCTTTGCCCCTTCCTCATCACTGTAGGACTTGTGTATGGTGTTGAAATGGTGCTACGTGCCATGTGCAGGTTGGTGTGGTTGAAATGGTTTATACTGAGCCACAGTAACCCTTTCTTGCTACTCATACAATCCCAGGGTACACAAGTGTGTGACGTCTGGGGGAGAGAAAGCAGGCTACAAGGGATGCCAGATAATACCAGATAGTGCTGACTTATTAACCACCTTTGGGTCCCTACCTTTGGATTTATTGTTGAGGTTTAATCTTCTAGCATTTTACAAGCCAATGTCAACATCCACCAGGCAGTGGAGAATTTTCTGTCAGGGAGAACTCCCTTATCTTTACACACTCTCATTTTCGCATGAGGCAGTGAATATAGTTGCAGGTAGTACTGTTATCTTATGGTAGCAAGAGTTATCCACCCCGATACTGTTTTTGTTTAAGGGTTCACTATTTGCCCATAGTGGGACCCTAACAGGTGCTATCATCCTGGGTCAGAGTGGACCTGAGAACAACAGCAATTAAGAGATGGTTTCATACTCCTCAAAACCTTCATTCTCCTGATCAAAGGCCTTGCTGACAGATGTAGTTAATCATCATACTCAGTTATAATAACTGTGAACTTTATATATGTATATGAAGATTTTGAATCCCTGTTCTGTTAGGTTAAAGTAAATTCTTTAATTCTACCAACAAATCACAAACCTAATTATTGTAAATATGTTATAATTGTATTTTTGCTAAAGCTGCAGTCATCATGACCAAATTGGAGAATTGATTGTGAAACAACCAGCTGACCTTGAACACTAAACCCAAAGTGTATCAGGTGTGTGTACTCAGTATCTTGTAGCAAATCCAAGATGACTTAAAAAAAACTATCTGTTGAGTTTTTCCCTACACTGCTCATGGTATATCCTTAGCATAACAGTGTGAGACATTTACCAATGGTGACATGCTGGAGCAAACTCTCTTCTTGGACATGAATTTCCTCTTCCTCTTATCAGTGATTTGGACATATTCATTGAATGAAGAATGATTGCATAGTAAAGAATGTTGTGTGTATGGCAAGCTGGCTGCAGGGCACCACCTAGCAGGCTGATCAACATATTGTTTTAAGGATGTCTTCAAGTGTGACATGAAACTCATAAGCATGCATCCTGATAGTAGGGAAATGCTTGCAGATGACCAAAGGGGCTGGAACCATGTTGTTTGAGAGGAGCTGAAGTTTAGAACACAATGAAGCTGAGACAACAAATTCAGGTCTTCAATTTTCACTCATTTGTTTGTAATACCTGTGAAAGAGTCTGAATTATCCCAGTTACTGCACTTGAATGATCAAGATTCTATTATCTTATGAAATAAATGATTACTAGTGTATCCCTGGCTTGTTCTCATTTTCCTTCTCTTTTATGTGTTGACATATTCTTGTTAACTATTGCCTATATTGTTCATTCCATTCTATCTTCTGAACTGTGTTCTTTGTTTTGATTTTAATCATTTCATCCAAAGCAAGGTGATAATGTTACTAAGATGTAAAGGGTAACTGAGAGTGAAATGAAATGAGAAAACGTTAGTGAAGAAAAAGGGCAATAAAAGAACAGGTTCAAAAAGACAGATGATGGTGATTATGTTGTATTTCAATTATTTAAGATTGGAGTTGACAGAAATGTTTTCCATGGTAAGTTTTTTTTGTGGGACATTTGGAGTTACAAAATAGATCTTTATCATGTTCTGTTACAATCTCAACACAAAATGTCTAATGGCTAAGCTTTTTGACATTCTGACCAAAAAAGAAAAAAATTCTGTCTAATATGTTTTTTTTGTTTTCCTTAGAATCCATTGAATGTTTTTCCATGGTATCATGGTGCTAGTGAAAGAATGGTTGTAGAAAATAAACTTTTGCATTATAAGATGGTAAGTCTTGATTTTGTTATTTATAAATACATACCATAGAGGAATATAGTTTATACATTAGATATAAAATCTGACTCTGCAAAATTCTACTCAAATAAAAATCTAACATTCACCAAAAACTACTGTCCATAAATGAAATGGGTAAATAACTATTATTGTTCACTAATCAGCAGCAGTTTATAACTTAAAGTCTGTGTTTGCCATCTTTGATATCTTAATTAGTGATGGGACGATACTAATATTTTTACTGATTCTGATACAGTTTCCAATACTGTTCTAAATTTATGATTCTGATATGATTCATGATTCCAATTCTGATATCTACAATGTTTAAATTCATTATTTTCAGACCCTACAGTTGGGAAAGTTAGTGAACAAAGTACATCTTACTTATTATAAAACGCAGATTGTGTGTGTGTGTGTGTGTGTCTGTAATGTTTATATGTTGGATCGAATTTCCTACATTTTTTAGCCGATTTCAACAAAACTTCACAGGACTACATAAAATTACCTTGTGGTGGTTCTAACGGGGCTGAAAATGGGAAAAACACAGTTGTTTTTTTAATAAAATCAATTTGAAAACACGATTAAGACACATCGTGAGAATGAAAGGGGGACAACTCACCCACGAAAATGTAAACAAAAGAGCATAGCATGATGAAAAAGATGCCGAACTTGACGAAAACAAAATTTTATTGTCTAATGTTCATATTATTATTAAAGAGGAAAGATCAAAGTATTTTGGGGGTATTTTTTTACATTTTTTAATCGTTCCTAGCACGTCTGAAATTTTCGTTAAAAATATTGTTTTTTTTTTGGTCATAAAAAAGGACAGATAATCATTTTCAATCATTTTTTTCGATTTGATAAAAATGATTAAAATCTTACTTTGATATTCTTTTAAAAATCAATTATCATTTTTTCAAAACTGATTTTAATAAAAACAGAAATTATACTGTTTATTTAAAATATTTTGAACCAAGCTTAACTTAGCTTCTGCGCCAAAAAAATGTAATTTGAAAATAAAACAAAGCAGGTCATAACCTTTAAGTCGCTTGACGATTGACGAAAAGGCACATTCATGACGTTTAGATAACTTACGGGAGGAGAATTCTTTCTACGGATGGAAGGAAGTGAAATTATTTAAGTGAACACATTATTTACCTTGTTACTTTTAAGGAAAACTTTCAGCGCTCTAATTTTTTATTTTTGTACTTAGCTTTCATTTTTACATTTACGATGCTTTATGGAAAATATAAAGAAATTAAAAAATAAGACTGTTAATAGTGAGATTAAATTTCATAAGAAAAAGGTATGTAATTAATTTAGGTACCTTTCTTATGAAATTTTATCAGAAGTGTACATAAAATACTATAATTTTATGTACATTTATTACATTTTACTGTGTTATTTGTATTTCCATTCATTTTATTATTAATTTTGATATTTCATTTATGGAAAATGTCATAACTGAGATTAATATAAAAATAAGATCATATAAATTAAAGTTTAGCAGTAGTTAAATTTCATGAGATGATACTGTTACTTGTAGGTACCCTCCTCAGTTGAAATTGAAAACTCAAATTAACTTCTCCATACGTGTTTCGCAAAAGTAAAGGGCTTAACAGCGGAGAACAATGCTGAACTCAAATAATGCAACTAAATTGTATTCTGGTTGGTCTTCCATACTTGATAATTACTGTCCGACTATAAACACAAAAATTACGTTTCTTAATTACCATGGCTAATCTGATTGGTCCAAATTATACAATTTTCAAAGCGCTAGACAATGACAATCTCACACGGACATTTTGAAAGGTTGATGTTGCTTTTAACTAATGTTAAAATATTTTTTAAATTCAATTTAAACATTTTTTTTTAAATCTTTTTAAAATTAAAGAAATAAGAAATAATTGTATTAAAAATTCAATTTTCATTGAAAAAATTTTTTGCTTTCAGAAAATATTGTCCATATTCATAAAAACAAATTAAAACAAATAAAAGCATTTGAAACTAAATAATACATTTGTTTTATTGAATTTTGTATGTTACAATTCACAGCTGATTTTCAGGTATGTTGACCAAAAAAAAAAACAAAAAAAAACATGATTTGCATTCTTCAAAGCCTTGTGCTTTTAACTATTGTAATCACTAAAACCAATGGTCTCGAATTTCTAGAGTTTTTCATAAAATTAGTTATGGGGGTGTTAATAAATATAAAAAAAAATATTTCTGCCATGACTTTAATAAAAAAAAATATATTTATAATAATTTCGATCATCTGTGAATAGTTTCTGAAAGTTTCATTAACATCTGACAATTATTTTTTATTTTTTTTCAAGATTTTCCAAATTAATGTGTGTTGCGACAAAAGAGAAACAAGGTTTTTAAATCAAAATTTAGAATATTCTAAAAAGATGGAAAAATTTTTTAAAAAATTAAAAAAAAATTTAGTCTATTCTCTTCATAAAAACATAAGCATTTTGACGATAAAATTTTGTTTTCATAAACTTTGGCGTCTTTTTCATCAGACTATGCTCTATGTTTTAGCGATTTCGTGGAGTGACTTAGGTTAAAAACCCCAGGTTGTTTATGTGTGTGTGTGTGTGTGTGTTTCTTTATATATGGGATCGGATTTCTTACATTTTTCAGCCGATAAAACAAACATCCACTTTTTTTTTTTTCGGGTATAGTATTTCTTATTGTCTTGCACACTTTTTTCTTTATTTACATTCAGAATGCTTTAAAAATTCCATTTACAAGACAATTGTTTATAATAAAATTCTATTCACCAATCGATAGACTCATAACGATTGTAAACAATGTTTTTGTTTGAATTTGGGTTTGACCAATTTGTAAAAAAAAAAAAAAAAAAAACTAATTAAGACATGCGTGTCCGTCAACCTTAACAATAATCTTTGTCAATTTTATTTTTCAGTCTTTATGATGGTCGATACTTGATCTATCTCTTACTGTTACATCCCTGGGCAACGCCGGGCTCTACTGCTAGATTATTAATAAAACATTTAGTAGAAAAATGATTACAAAAGATTATGAAATAAATTTAGATAACCTTTTTATTTAAAAAAATTGGGTAAGGCTTTAAACAATAAAGAAAACAATTTCTGTACATAAAACACTTAATTACCTAGCCACAATTGACATATTACTTTACTTTGATTATCACCAGAAATCTTAAAAACTTCCAAACTACACTTTTCTGCTTGGAATTGGATATATTTGCTATAATTGGAGTCTGAAAATAATAAACATTGGTTAGAATTTAAATTTTTCATTGGTAGATAAAAAATGTTACTAGTTTTCTAATGTGTATAATCTGTAAATATTCAACTGAATATTCAACAAGCAAAGGCACCCTATGAATATTATACAATCTCCTTTAAATTTTATATGCTGCATTTTTCAATGAATGAAACAAATTTAGGATTGGCAATTCAATTTCAGCATTTACTTAAAAAAATAAGAGGCATCCTAATATATAGTGCCACAATAATACTCTAAGCAGAAAAGCATCATTCTATGTATTGTGGTTGAACTCATGCATAATATTTTGATAAAGTACGAGGAGTACCTAATCCTACAGGATGGTGAATAAAAGCAAATGTTAAATTTGCCTACAGATGTTTAATAAGAATTAAATATGAATTATCACAGGAACTTAATAAATAAATAATAAAAGATCTTCAATCTTATCTAAAGGATTTAATCACTAATAAGTTTTACTGTCTAAAATAAATTTCTAACAAATAAAAAAAATGAATAATTGCAAAAAAGAATCAAAAAGTGTTTTATTTTTGTTAAAAGAAAAAAGAGTAAAAGTGCAACAACACAGTAAAAACATATCATTAGATTTCTTTTTAAGAGATATAAGCAGTTTTAGCAAACTTAACAACAAATTTAAAAAATTATTAGTAAGTTGAAAGCTAAATAATACTGATATCCAACTTGATCATTTTATATATTTTGAGATTCTCAACTGTTTCAAAGCATTAAAATAAAAATAAGATTTAAAATGATTAAAAACTTCATAAAGATGAGATCATCTGTAAATGTGTTGCTAGTCAGAATAGAATAATTATCAGTGGTCAAAGTTCAAGCTGGTATAAAATCCAGGATTTTAAATCCTCCAGGAAGTTGGCCCTTAACACTTACAAATTTGTTGCATCAGAATCTTCTCATCTTCCATTTTGCTTGTGGCAAGGTTTAGCAAATATGTTGACATATGAAAACTTTGTCCCTCAGATTAGACATATAAGCCATAAAGGTAACAACAAAGAAACATCCATATCAGTCGTTTCATTCTTAATCAGATGTTGATTACTTATGTGCATATTTTGGAAAAATTCATTCTTGTAAAGGATATGCAGCCTAACCATGATAATGTTTTTTTGCTTTTCTCTAGGATGGAATGTATGCTGTCCGAAATAGCACTACCAAAGGTCCTAGTTACCCATATGCAGTAACACTTTATCACAGTGGAAAGACCTACAACTTCCCCATTCGCATTCGAGATTCAGATAAAAGATTAGCTTTGGGAATAGAAAAAAAAAATGAGCCTGTAAGTAAAATCATTAATTGATTTATTTTAAAATTTATTTTTAAAGTGACACAATAGAAAATTAGGTATTCATGGTCAAATTCACACACAAACTTAAAATTTCTTTAAGAAAAGACTCTAGGATGAAAGTTAAATAAAAGAATATTACAATCCTAAATTTAAAAACAAATAAATAAATAAAAAATAATTTACAGGCCTGAATAGAGGTTTTTAAAATATTTCACTTTTAATTTATTCTGTACTTTGCTTCAACTGCACTGAATTCTCAAGAAGAATTTTCAGTTTTAACATTAATAGATGAAAATGTAAGATTATTTGAACAACAAATTTATAAAATTCCACAAAATACTTCATTGAATCTTTTAATAAGATCTTTATATTTATTAATTTTAATTTTGACAAGAAATTTTCTTTCATTTTAATGTTTCCCATATTTTTATTGTACCTTTATTCATCAGTGTCTATCAGTGAACAAACAGCATGGATGGGAAATTATAATGAATAAGTTTCTGGTTTAGATTGGAGCTCATGTTTCCTTTGTCTTAGGGCAGTCTGGTTAACAATATCAACTGCTCTTACTGTCTGGGTTATATGAATCAGCAAAAGTCCAAATTTAACCTTGTACACTTAGCCTTTTCAAAGCAAATATTTTTTTCTTTCTTGACTTCTTTTGCTGCCATATTGGTTACTGTTTTCAATACTAGTAGTATTAATAGCAGTATTATTATTCTTATTTTTAGATTTAGCATTATCAACTATTTTAAAATTTTAATTTTAATCTAGTAATTTTCTTTATTTTTTAAAATCAGATTTGGATTTCTGTTAACCTTTTCACTGCTGCATTTTTATAGCATTGTTGCCTGACTGTGCTGGATCACTTTGAAAAATAGGAAATTGCCATTTACTGGAAATAAAATATAAATAGACTGATGACAAATTCTAATGGATGCTTCCATTTTGGGTTTGGTGTCATATTTTGCAGTACAGACTAAGCTAAATGACACCACCCCCCAACACAATATAATAAAAATATGACACAAAACACATCATATTGTATGTCTATACGAGTTTGAAAATAGCACTAAGTGCTTGTTATTTCATGACAAAAAATGCTAGACACCGACATTTCCTGGTAACTTGAAAATGTAATTATGCATTGACTGCAGGCAATGTAAGTTTTATAAAGATCTATAAGTACATTCACAGCACCATCATTAAGTTCTTAGTGGCTCAGACAGTAAGAACAGTTGGTATGGTTAACCAGTCTTCTTCAAAACAAGAGAGACCTAAGTTAAAGTCTCACTAAGGATTTATCCTTTTTGGATTCTGATTGAGTAAAATTGCAATTAAAAATTAAAAGCATTTAGTCAACTGGTTGACAAGGTTTCATCTAAAACTGAAGATTTTCATCCTGTCTATTTGTTCAACTTAAATTCTCAAAGTAAACATTATTTATAGGAATTCATAAACATCAAATGACTCCGATAATGAACACTAATGATTTTTATTAAAACTTTATCTAACTTTATTTCTTGCTTTATTTCAGAACTTTGAAACATTGGATGCCTTGATTAACTATTTCAATAAAAATAAGATCCAACTGATGAACAATCAATTTGTCTTATTAAGCATTCCACTGGATCAGTCTTCTTGATTTCGCTTCCATCATGACAACATTTGTTGCAATAAATTTTTACTCATATTTTTCTTGCTGGTGAAACAATAAAGTACTAAAATTGATTTTTATTTTCAAATCAATTCCTTATGCAATTCTTTTTTAAAGCAATGATTTCAAATAAAAATAAGCATTATATGATAAGTGATAGATTTTGGTGATAACAGAGATATTATTTTAAAAAGAAAGAAGCTTTTAAAAATTCAGTGAATATTTTTATACACTTTTGCACTTTTGTGGCTGAAAACTACTTATACCAATCAGAAGTGACTATTTAAATCATTTTGTAAAATGTTTCATTTCTTAAACAACAAAACAAAATCTGTCTTTTCAGATGCTTATCATTTTTTTCCTCTAGTGTTTTTGTCTGATTTCTCCTGCTGTACATGAGGAGAAAGATTAAGCATTTTAATTACAACAAATTTTAATTTTTGATGCTATTAATATTAATATTAAATTTTAACACTACATTAAATTTAGTAAATAATTAAACATTTTTTCTCTAGGAAAAAATCAGTCATATTTAACACTTGAATTTTAAATTGAAAATATTCCAACAAAAATAAAATGGTTCATTAAAAATAATTTTATTGTATGTGATGTCTTGAGAAAAAAGTGTACACAAATGGATTTTGCATAATTTATATTAATAAATGTTTTATTTTGTGAAATAAACTTTCTACTTTTTTCCATTTATTAAAAATTTATTGAAAATAAAGCATTTATAAGTATAGATAGTGTAGACGTAGGAATTAGCACTTCATGGTAACCAAGTCTAAAGATCGTATTGGAGTATGAAACTGACGCCCATTGTGCAGTGTTGATTGCTATGTCCACACTGTCTCTCTCTCTCTCTCTCACTATATATATATATATATATATATATATATATATATACCCAGGTAAGATAAGAATGAATAGAGTACAATTCCAATGTTTGTGATGTTTAACTTAAAAGAGAGCTCAATACAAAGTAGAGCAATATTATTTATTTTAGGATATTACACCGAAAACATTATAATGAAGATAATAAAGTTACACAAAAATAAAATTTTAAACCAATTTAATAATCTGGATCATAATACATGGTTCAAAGAAAATGTTATTAATGATACTGACCAATGTAATTGTAGGAATTCTGACCAAATGTTTAACTAAATCTCTTGTTTATCTTTGTACTATCTCTACATTAGCGAATCCAAGGTTTGAAAAGTTCTATATTGGTAGTACTAAGAATTCTTTCAAGACTAGGTGGTATCAACACACCTTGTCCTTCACCAATAGTACTTACAGAAATAATACATCACTTTCTAAATATTTTTGGAGTTCAAGATGATAAGGCTCCTAACGTGAAATGGAAAATTTTAAAAATGGCAAGGACATGTAGATCTTTATATGAACCCTGTCTTCTGTGCTTACATGAAAAATTGGAAATTATCAGATTCAATAAAAATTTCTTACTAAATGAAAGGAATGAATTAACATTAAATTCTAAACATAGTTTACCTTTTCCCTTACAGTTTAGTTAAACTTTAGAATTTGAATATGCTTTTTCTTATATTTTAGTTGTACTGCATTGCACTATATATGGTTTATCTTTCTATTTGTAAAATTAATTTGGATTTAATATAATTTTGTATTAATCTCCTGGTAGTATTAGTAACATCTTGTAAGAATGTATTGGTATTTGGTTGGTATTTTTGATATTTTACATTGATTGGTTAGTGTTACTAACATCTTATATGAAGAATCTTTATTCAACACTTGCATATTAAGTTATCAAATAATTCTATACATTTAAATTATTTACTAGTTTCTTAAAGAAGCTATTTATATATCAACTATAAAACATTTTTATGTAGGGAATTCACAAAGCATATAACTTCTTTAGCATTTTGTTAAATTACCCCTTCACCACATTTTTATTTCTTAGGAAACAACATTGTCTAAGTTTGTATAATTTATGTAACCATTGGGATCTGCTCTAGTCTGGCTGACATTAGATGCCAATCTATGGGTCATGACCCATTTATAAAAAATAATTTTTAATTTTTGCTTCTTCACTTAGTTTAAATTTAACATAGGTCATATTTGATTGGTCAATCAGAGTAAAGCCCACAAACCTTATGACCTCTCCTTTTATCTTTTTTCATAAAAAGTGGTTGTATATTGCTTTTAAATCTAAATAAATCGTTCACTCACCAGTAATTTACAATCACCCGATGAGATGCATTGAAACATGACTGCAATTGTGTATCGATCTTGACATGTTTTCTGTATAATATCCTAATATATATATATATATATATATATATATATATATATATATAAACAAGATTGATTGCAATTCAAAATATTTTATTCTTGGTAACAAAAGTAAGTTTAAGCTTTCTCAAGAAATTTTTTTTAATCATTTTACCCAAAGCAAGGTGATAATGCCACTAAGATGCAATTGATTATTGGGAGTGAGAGAGAATGAGAAGACTTTAGTTAGTGGAGGTGTGAAAATGACAATAAAGGAACAGGAGCCAGGAAGAGAGACAATGGCGACTGACATTGCATTTAAATTTTTGAAGATTGTAGATGGCAGGGAAGTGAAAAATTGAAATGGAGATCCACAGGGGAGAAGTATGAGAAAAGAAAATGTTAGAATAGAAGAGATGGTTGCATCTAGCTCATTCAAAAGTAAAACAGTGAGACCTAGATGCCAATCTAGTAGCATGCTTAAATTTGTGCAGCTGAGGCATTTAGTAAAAAAGCTTAACAGAACAGTTGCCATGAAAATATTTGTAGAAAAGACAGTGCGAAGCCATGTCATGTTCATGAAAAAGTGACTGAAGTCAAGATGCCAGGTCAGAATCAATTACATTGCAGACTGTTCTTTAAGAGTTTTGTCAACAATCTTGAGATATAAAGCAGGAGCACCAGATCAGATATAGCAGCTGTATTCAACGCATAGTGAAATGGTAGATTTATAAATGTATAAAATGGATTCTGACAAGAAAAATTTTCAGGTACATTGCCGTGAACGAACTTTTCTCGTAGTAGATGAAGCAATTGACTCAATGTAGTCACTCCATGAAGTGTTTATGTATCTACTGATGTAGCTATAAAATACCTTTTGACTTTATCAGTCATTTTAATCACAGATGTCAGGGAACATTTTTTTTTATTTTATTTCAAGTTTAGCTGCAATTGTTTTTATTTGCTTTTGTAAAAAGAAATTCTAAAAATTGTTACTTTTTAAAAAAATGAATGAAATTTAACTGAATAAAATTTTCTTTAGCAAAACAGAAGCTACTTTACAATGAATTTACAACAGTGTGTTTACCACAAACCCTGAGATGTTTTCTTTATTAAAAATACTTTCCAAAAAGTTGCTGTCAAGTGGAATGATTAAAGTCAATTCCAGCAAATTTCTACATTTCTACAAGTTTTGGTATTGCGTTGCATCCTAATGTCTAACTTGATCTATAAATGAAGGATTTCCCAAAAAATAAGCTATATTTACAGCTTACAGAATGTTTTAATTCTGACTGATTTATGCCTGTCCAAAGTTTACTATTTGGGACATCTTCATACTTGTATATAAGTGAAGCTCTTTTCTAGATTGACCTTTGATTTTCAACAGAAAGCCAGTAATTTATTTTATGCTTTAAGTGTCAGTTCCAAATTTTGAAGTAATAACAAATCAGGCACTTTGTATTTGGTAACACTGCCAACCCTTAGCAGCTGACGGAGTATTATACATTTATATAAACAATACTATCAAGATGAAAGATATAATTGAAAAGAGTCTGACTCTTCATTATACAGGGTGTTCCAAAACTCTTGGGCACATTTTGACATTGAATATCTTGAAAACTATTAAGGATATAAAAACATGCCTGACATATTCTGAAAGAATTTAATCTCAAGTTTTCCATGGAATGTTCAAAGATGGTCAATGTGAGCACTGTTGGTCACACAGCACACATCAAATCTGTCATCTTCCAACTTCTCTTGCATTGCTATGCAAAAGTCCCAATGAGCTGGTTTATCAGTGTCCTGCAACGGTTGTGTTAACTGTAGCTTGTGAGGTGTCATGTGCAGTCATCTTTTTAAGACTCGCCAAACAATTGTTATAGGAAACTGAAGTTCCTTACTGGCTCATCTGATTGATTTATGGGGGCTCTGCTTAAAGGCAGTTCAAACTCACTCAACCGTATCATCTGATGTTGAGGGGTGTCCTGTTCTCTTAGGTGGGCACAAACACCCATCCTTCATGAATTTACCATGCCATCTCAATATGGACTTCCTTTCTGGTGCCTCTTTTTGGAATTTTGTGCAAAATGCATGGTGAACAATGTCCATGATTCAGTTTTTGCAAATTCATGGACGCAAAACGCCTTTTCTGATTGAGTGAACACCATTACTGGATCTGAAAAAATATGAAAAAATCATCAGCATTACAAAAAAACTTAATGAATTTAGCTTTAAAATGGTACCAGTTTCATCTTACTACCATTCATAGTTCAGCAGATATGAGGACTTGAATTGTGCCCAAGACTGTATATGATCAAGCAGTAAATTCCTCAAATATGGTATGTATACTTATTTAACAAAGGGGAAGGGTCTGATACAAGGCGATCCTTATATATAGTTAAGGATTGCCTTGGTTTGACATAAAAAAAATTCCTCTTTCTTGTGGGTGTAATGAGTTGGTCGGTCAACTTGACACCCCCAAAGTGAGTGGAGATGTATCGATCGCACCGCTTCCTGAAGAATGGATGACCTGTGCCTTCGTGTCTGGATTGCCTAGTCATGTTAAGCAGATACTCCGTGCATCATCCAGAATGGAAGACATGACGCTCAATCAATTGTTGACCAGAGCCCGTGCTATCATGATCGACGAAAAAGAGGCTGATGAACGAGTGGCCGCAGTCGTTCAGCCAATTGAAGTCAAAGAGGATCCGACCCCAGCCATCCATCACCATGGC